AGGACACATTTGAAGATGGAAGCAAAGATCAGAGTGAGTAGCCACAAGCCCAGAGATGCCAACGAGTGATGTGACCACCAGAAGCTTCGGGAGCCAGGACTCCTCCCCAGCTCCTTCGCAGGGAGAAGATCCTGCCGATCCTAGGCTGCCAGCTTCCAGAGCTGAGAGGACTACATTTCTGTAGTTTTACGACACCCAGTTTGTGGCAATTCATGCCAGCAACCCCAGGAAACTGGCACAGCTCCTGTACTCACAGTGGGTTCCTCCCCAGAGTACACACTTCAATGGCCAGGCTGAAGGGTCTTTCTCTTGGCTTGGTTTTTCTTTTGTAAGCGGGGACAGACTTTTTTCCAGTGTCCCTTCTACTGACAACACCAGCAAGTATCCTTGTTGGTGGACAGTAGGCAGGGCCGTGGCCACCTGGATTTGGTCTACAGAGTCACAGTCTGCTCTGGGTCCTGTCTGGCTTTTCGCTTTCAGAGTGCCTGCTGGGAGCTTCGGTTCCTGCAAAGGGCCGCTCCCTGTCTGATCTCTGTTTCTGTCCTAGATCCTGGGTTCAGGTTTAACTCCTGACAAAATGAGATGAGGGGTTACTTTACCAATTCCCAAGTGTCATCATGTATTTCCTACTGTACACCCCAAATCTCCTACAGATGCATCTTCTCTGTTTGCATGACTGAACTATAATCCAGCCTTCTGTGTTGGAAATATCTTAGGTATGGCTTCTAGGATACTTCATCCAATGTTTTGAGCCATTTTGTGGCCTCTTGGGTTTATCCTATATGGAGAGGGATCCTATAAGTTCCTTTCCAGGTGAGTCCAGTCCACTTTTGCCATTCAGAATTTAGCCCTGGAGGTTCTGATCAAGGTGCATGCAAGCTGATAAGAGATTGGGTAATCTTGGGTCACACTTCTCCACTGTATTCTAAATTAGTCTAGGAATATTTGCTTGGGGTTTTTTGTTCTTTTGAGAACTCCTTATAGTTTTTTGTTATTGTTGTTGTTGTTTGTGGTGCTAGGATTGACACCACGCCTTTGCACTGAGCTACATCCCCTGCCCTTTTTTAATTTTTTATTTTGAGACAGGGACTCACCACTTGGGTCCAAGAGGCAGAGCAGAAGTATGCTAAGGAGGAAAGAGGGACTCAGGGAAGCAATGAAGTGAAACAGGGGAGGATCTACCAGGAAGCTGAGTTCAGTTTGTCAAACTGTTCATTAACTTTGGCCAAAGAATCTGTTAGGGAAGCAGTGTTTGGAAGCAGAATTCCATTTGGAGACAGTGATTATGAATTAAAAGCTACTGCCTGCTGGGCCTAAAAATCTTGGTTTTCTAGGGCTTCTCTCAAATGAGCAATTTTGTTCCAGTTGGATGATCCACATCACCCTTTGTGGAGTTAATGCTCTTCAGAAAGGGCACAGACACCCCCACCCATTCTATAAGGGGCCCATAACCTGATAGCCCTGTGTGAGCTGAAGGTGTTATGACTCACCTCACCTGCCTGCAACCCGCTTGGCTCCATGGTGTGGTGGAGCCAGGTGCTCAGGGTGCTGACTACGAGCTGAGGCTCAGCACAAGGAGCCACTTATCAGTAGCCCTGCAAAAGATCAAACTTCAAGATACTGTGTGTGTGTGTGTGTGTGTGTGTGTGTGTGTGTGTGTGTGTGTGTGAGAGAGAGAGAGAGAGAGAGAGAGGGTGTGTGTATTGTGTGCTGGGGATTAAACCCAAGGCTTTGCACATGCTAGGCAAGTCCTCTACCACTGAGCCACATTACCAGCCCTCAAATTATGCTTTCTACTGAATACCAGTTTACTTTCTCACCATCGTGAAGTCGAGCAGTCATAAGTCGGGGGCCAACTTAGAAGGAGGGGCTTTGGAGGAGGAAGGTCAGGATTACAGTTAGCATATGAGAGCCACCACAACAGTGGCAGAGGTGTAATGTGTGGTCTCTGGGGACACAAAGTTGAGAGGGAGCCTCCTCCAGTCTATTGGTGGCCAAACCACATCTGTCCAGGTAGACACCAGTCTGGTAAGAATGGCAAACTCAGGGCTGCGATTTAGCTCAGTGGTTCCACTGCCTGGCTCATAAACACAAGGACCCAAATTCGATCCCCAGTACCAAAAAAAAAAAAAAAACCCAAGAATTCATAAATCTTGGGGCTAGAGATTTAGCTCCCTGGTACCAAAAGAAAGGCAAACTCACAGCTCAAGCCAGAGGCTCCTGAGGCCAGGCCTGTGTTTCCCTGTGAGTTACCTCTCATCACACTGCTAGCACAGACACAAGACAGGAGAGGAGTGACCTGACTCTACCAAAGATGCCATCCATGTGGCCATCAGTCCAACCCCTAGGTACCAAACAGAACAAAAGCAGAGCTCAGAACCAGTGCTCACTCAGCCACATTGGTATGGATTCCACAAACCAAGACCACTGTCACACGAATGCCCACAGCTGGGGGAGGCTGGTGTTGTGGGTGACAAGCGTGCAGAACAATGTTGCAGTCACCAGGGACACCAGAAACAAATGAAGGCCCCACAGAGGCGAAGCACTCCAGCTTGACTTACTGTGGCGTGGGCACTGGCCACCATCACCTGCTGGGGGCCAGAGAGCTGGACCGCTGCGGGGCGGGGGGAGGCTTCAGATTGACTGTTGTTGGGAGAACCTTTGAAAAAAACTACATTTTCCTGACATGAAACACAATTGTGCTTTAGTGCTTTCCACAAGGAAACTACTTATTGTGTAAGCCCCAGTATATATCACCCATGATCTGCTACAGATTATGAATTGGGGTTTATCTGCTGTCCAAATGACATACATTTGGTATCTAACTTAGCTATGTAAAAAGTCTTAAGAAGCTAAAAATTAAAATTCACTGATGGGAGAACCTCATTCACTATAAAAGCAATTCTAGAGGGAAATGCAAATCACAGTTTAAAATATGTGACAACGTGGTTTCGCCGCCTGCTGCGCAAGCACAAGGACCCGAGTTCGATCCCTGGTACCAAAAAAAACCAAATACGTGACAACTGAGCATAATCCAGCTGCCAGGTCCCCTGTCTTAGAAAAGCTTTGCCATTTTCCTCCCTGAATTTCTGTTTTCTCCACTGTAAATTGCAGACCCTAACCTAGGGCTGTTGGGGGGGCTCAGAGGTTCAGAGAGTTTGGGATCCCTGGCAATTGTGCTGCACACGAAGGAGGAGGAGAGCAAGGGGAGAGCAGATGCTACATCTGAGCAGGGTAGACAGGGGACTGGGAAGGAGAAAGTGCTTGGTATGGCGGGCAGCGGTGCACATCAGGGATTGTGGTGGCTCTGAGTTTGGTTCGTGGAGACACAGACTCCGTCCGGAAGGTCTGCAGGACTCATTCACAGTTCCAGGGTCTGTGGTGTCTGCAGTGGGGCCAGGCCCAAGCTTGGTATGGAACAAAATAGCAAGAGGCGCATCCCTATCCCATGGAGCAGAGAGCCTGCCAGCTGAGAGTGTCCAGGAAGAGAGGAAGAGCTGATGCATGTGCCCAGGGCCACAACTCCTAAAGACCATTGGTGGGGGTGTCCAGGGCCACACAGAGTGGCCGGACTTGGACTGAGAACTTGGAAGCGGCCAGACTGGGAACACCATCCCTGACTTCCGTGAGCTGCCACGGGCACTAACTGCAGTCACACTTGACAGGACTCACACTGTATTGTCCTAAGCCTGCCATGGCTGCGGTGCCCAAGGTCTACTGTAGCTCTCCCAGGAGAGAATACTGCACTTTCACACCACACCCCAAGGTGGCTCCTGGAGTGGTGGTGCAGACATTCAGGGCAGCGCTGAAACCAGACACTTGGTTCACGTCGGGTGGACTCCTGAGGCTGACACGCACACAGTGGCAGAACCACATCACTGGGAGATCTTAGGCCAGGGCCAGGTGTGACGTGGCTGGAGGAAGAGGTGTGGGAAGTGTAAATGCTTACAGTTGTCCAAAAACAACATAGAGGACTGAGGCCCTGGAGTCAGAATAGACTGGTAAACTGGACACCCAGCCAGCCTGGCTTTGAGGAGGACCCTCAGCACCCCAGGACTTCCCACGGACACTGTGAATATCTGGGTTAAAGAAGCCAGCAAGTGCCAGCCAAGGAGGGCAGCATGGCTAGGAACAAAGCCTGCTCCCCTCAACAGACTTCTGGGGACGCCCAGTCACCCGGCCCTGCCCTCCAGGGCCATCCATAGTCACCCATGGGGCTGCCACCGGGCAAAGGGCCAACACTTCAATATAGGATTGCATCCCACCGTCACGATTTTACTGCTCGCTCCCCAAACCCTGCAGAGGAAACTGAGGCTCGAGAAGCTTGTAGGAGCAGTCTGCAGTAGGGGAACTCCGGGCCGCGCAACGAGCCCGGCCCTAGCGCAGCCTGGCCTCTGTTCCACTCTCCCACACCAGGCTCCCAAGGCCTGGACCTCGAGGCCCTCGATCAAAAGAGCCCGCATGTCCCGAGGGCACCGGCTGACCCAATCCTGAGGGTGCCAGCTCAGAGACCCTGCTGACCTCCACAAACCGTTTGTCAAGGTCTTACACCCACGAGCTGCTAGAGGAGCCCACCGGAAAGTAAGGGTCTGCTACCAAGATGTCTGTGCCAGGTCAGGGGCGCGTGCAGTGGGCGGGGCCGACGGGAGTGGGCAGGGCTAGGCCCCCAAGTGGGCGGGACCAGTCGATAGTGGGCGGGGACGCAAAAATGGGCGGGGACCGAGTGCCTTGGGCGGGGCGCTTGGGGTCCTCAGAGGGAGAGCCGGGCATAGATGGTGCATGGAGTGGGCGGGCCCTGGTGTGAGCCGGGCCAGGAGGAGGCAAGGAGCGGTGTGGGCGGGGAAATGTGGGCGGGGCCAGAGAGGGGGCGCCGTGGGGGGGGTCTGATATGGGTGGGGCACTGGGAGTGGCTGGCCCGCGGCGGTGGGCGGGGCGCGAGGCATGCGCGGGCCCAGAGGCAGCAGTGGGCGGGGCCGGCGGAGTCCTCATTTCCTCGCGCGGGCCGGAAGTGGAGGGCGGTGGCGGTGCGCCCGCTACATGAGCGGCTGAGGTATCTCTGCCGGAGGCCGCGGGACGCGGCAAGTTCTCCGCCACCACCTGCCGCCTGCGGCTCCCGGCCCTGCCCATCCTGGCCCGGTCGGCTCTCCGAAGAGCTGGCTCTGGCCCGGAGTCGCCTGTGGCGGGGCTCTGAGGCAGCGGACTCTCCGCCCAAGCCCAGGCCCCAGGGCGGCAACACTGTGCCAGGCAGCGCGGGGTTCCCTCGGCCCCCGTGACAGTGACACCGTCACCCCAGCCCGAGACCCGCAGCGCGAGGGCGGAGGTCGTGTCCGGCCCGGGCGAGCACGGCCTGAGCGCCTCTAGGCAGCTTGGCATTTAGTTTGCAGACTTTACGGGCGTGTAAAGTAGGCGTGAAGTCGGCACATGTGTGAACCTCAGTTGTGCGGCACACTTAGCCGGGCGGACCCCTGCGATCCTCGACCTGGCTCTCCAGCATCCTCTGCTCCTCCCAGCCTGCCTTCAGCTGTAAGTGTTGTGGGTTTTGTTTTTTGGTTTTGTACCGGGAATCAAACTCGGGGCCTTTCTCGTCAGGCAGGCGCTGCACCACTGAGCTACATCCCCCACCCTGTAAGTGATGGGCTGAGCCTCTTGTTAGTGCGATTATGTTGTGTGCCTGGCTCGTTGCTTGTGGAACTCACCCGTGATATTTCATGATGAGTGGCATTTATACATGTTACGGTATTTTTATTAGTTCTTGCTTTTAATTGTTGTGTAATATTCCATTGTGTAATGTATGAGGGCTTTTCTGCTGATAGGCACTGATTTTCCCAGTGTTTGTATGTTATGTATTTTGCATATTAATGCTGTGAACATTCTTGTCAGTGTTTGGTGATCGTGTGAGTACAGTGGTCAGATGTAGCATGACTGCGTCTTAGACTGGGCACAAAATTACATTTAAGCTAACATTAAAAAATGGAGTATAATCTCTTAACCAGTGCAACATTAAAGATTGGTAAATAGATTTTATTATGATTTCAAGACTTTGGTAATTCACTACCATATTATTATTTACCCCTCCTGTTGAACGTCTGTGACAGTCTTGTCTCAGACTGTCATTACTCCCCTCCTTGTGTTAGACAAGTCTGTTAGAGCTGCTTATGATCTGGCTCTGTGTTTCTCAAGTTAGTGGTTGTTAGGGGAAACAAAGTAGTGGTTGTTAGGGGAAACGAAACATTAAAAAGGTGTAACTAAAAACGGATTGAAGAATCCTAAGAGTTCAAGACGAGAAACGCACATTGCTGTTGTCACGCCACACAAGTACTGGGTACAAATGTAAAGGTGAATCTCAGGGTTAGTTACAAATAGGAATTTATTACAGTGATTTCCACGTGCCTGGAAATATTAATACATTTATGATGTGAAGAGAACAGAAATCACTAAGAATTTGTGGAAAATTAGTAGTAAGAAAAGGCCCAAGCTGAACAGATAGAACTAAACCCTGAAACAGTGGAGATAATGTAAGAAACAGAAGGAAAACCTTAAGATAAATATTAGTACCCTCAAATTTGGTAGGATAGGGCCGGGAATTTAGCACAGTGGTTTCGCCCGCCTGCTCCGCAAGCACAAGTACCCGAGTTCGATCCCCGGTACCAAAAAAAAAAAAAAAATTTGGTAGGATAAGCTGCCTAATGAGCACATGTAGGCTGCCATGAAAAAAAGCAACCAGTTCTTGACTTTTAAAACATAAAAAGTAGGAAAGAGTAACCGTGACATGCAGAATAGATCCAGAAGAGCCAATGCACATCTGCTGGGAGACCCAGGAATGAATTAGAAGAGAAAGAAGTAACTGCAGAGATAGGAGTAACTAGGCCAAACCTTAGGTTGCCTGAGCCAACAGTCATATGTGTCAGTCAGGGCACAAATTGCTGGCAAATGGAGATCAGCCCTTCTCTCTCTGGGCTGTTTTCTTCCTCTGTGCAGTAGGGATGGTCAGAGTTGTGGAAAGGTGTGTTAGTTGTGCTCCTGTTCCCAACTCTCCTCCCATATCAACTCATAGTAAATGCCAGATTTCCCATTTCTACTTCTAGTAGAATGGACACAGTTAAAATACTGTATTAAGAAAACAAGGACTGGGGCCGGGGATTTAGCTCAGTGGTTCCACCGCCTGCCTTGCAAGCGGGAGGATCTGAGTTCGATCCCCAGTACCAAAAAAAAAGAAAACAAGGACTTATGGGACCAGGGATGTAACTCAGTGGTACTGCGCCTGCCTGGCAAGTGCAAGGTCCTGAGTTGGATCCCCGGTACCAAAAAAAAAAAGATACTATCAAGCCAAGTGTGTTGGTGCATGCCTGTAATCCCAGCACTTGAGAGGCTGAGACAGGAGGATTGCTGGAAATTCCAGGGCAGCCTGGACTACACAGTGATTTCAAGATCAGCCTAAACTACACAGTGAAATCCTGCCTCAAACAACAACAGGGCTGGGGATGTAACTCAGTGGTGCCACACTTGCCTGTCAAACGCAAGGTCCTGAGTTGGATCCCTGGTACCAGAAAAAAAAAAAGAAAGAAAACAAGGACTTGGGCCAGGGATTTAGCTTACAAGTACAAGGTCCTGAGTTTGATTCCCAGTACCAAAAGAAAAGAAGGACTTTTTTCTCAGCAAAATTCTGAGTCTGTGAGTGGGATAAATATACTGAGAGTCTTAAAAGAATATTGATAGAGACACATTTAGAGACATTCTAGTGAAGTTCATTAACTTCATGGGTATTGGGATTTAGATCAGAAATGTCCCCCAAAAGGCTCAGGTGTTCAAGAAGGGGCTTTTGGAAGGTGATTGGATGGATCATGAGGGGCCTGAATGTGCTATGAGGAGGTGGGACCTGGCAGGAGGAGATGGGTCACTGGGGTGTGACCTGGAAGGGTGTATCTTGTCCTAGTCCCTCTTTCTCTCTGGCTTTCTTCCTGCCCTCTCTGCTTCCTACCTGCAGGAGATGAGCAATTTTCCTCTGCAGAGTCCCCCGTGTTGTTTTTGCTTTGGAGTCAGCCAGCCATGGGCTGAACTTTCTGAAACTGAGAGACAAAATAAACCTTTCTCCTTCAAGTTATGTGTGTTAGATATTTTGGTAGCTGCAATGAAAAGCTGACTAATACAGTGCCTAAGTATAATCTCATAAGCTCCCAAAGAGAAATGTGTGAGTACTTACACAGAAATAGAAGACTTCTGATTAGAGTTCTGATTTGAAATGATTAGATCACAGTGGAGCTATAATTTAAAAGTGTCTATGGAACTTATTTTGAATTCAGAATCTTATCCCTGACCAAATTGTCATTCAAACGGAGGGGCAAAATAAGGCCGTTGTCATGTGTACCCACTAGAAACACCCTGGGATGTACTCTAACAAAATAAAAAATTAAGAGAAGCTTATGGAATTTAAAGAAAACAAACATTTCCCAACTCCAAATCATGGGTAACTATAGCTAAGAAATTTAATGGAACATTAAGGAAAGATTAATAAGCCAGAGTAGTAGAATCTTAAAGTCTTTAATAATCTGGAGCAAAAATGTAATGTGATTTTAAAGTTGGTGTGATAATCAGCTTCCTGTTGCTGTGTTGCTGTGACAAAATACCTGAAGTACTCAGCTTGGAGGAGGAAAGGGCTACTTTGACTCTCCGTTCTGCAGGTTTCAGGCCATGGCTGGCTGGTCTGCTGCTTTGGGGCCTGGGGAGAGGCAGCGTGTCTTGGCATGCAGCAGAGGAGGCTACTGGTTTGGTGACAGGGGGAATTGAGAGACAGGAGGAGCTGGACATGTGTCCCCTGAAGGGCACACACAGATGAAAATGACCTCACTTCCTCCTCCCGCCTCCACCACCTGGCTCCTGTAGACCTCTCTCTGAATAGAGATTTTGCTTATGGTAAAGATGGCTTTCCAAATTAATGTCAGAACAAGGACTGTGTCATGAGTGGTAGGAATTGACTATTTCAGAAAATAAATTATTTATTTTATATTAGTATTACTTCAGCTAGGGAAGATAAAAATTGAAAAGTCCTATTACTTAACAATAGCAAATGGAAACTGTACTGGACATGATTCCTGAGCACTTAGTGCTGTCAGGTTTTGCTTAATCAGTTGTTACAGTAATACTCTAAGGTAGGTTCTATAATTATCCCTAGTAATGTTTGAGGAGGTTGAAGCTCAGCTATTAGAGTTCACCTGCAGTGAAGAGTTAAGGTTAGGTATGGCAGATAGGCGAATTTAGGCTGCCCGGTTCCCAAGCCAGTTACATGGGCAAGACAACCCAAGAGAAATGTGTGACACCTAGCCACTTTATATAAGGTCTGAGTCAGCAGTAAGGCCCACCTAGGTCCTCCTAAACATCTCTCCCCTACTGATGGACACTAAGTTGCTTAGTTTTTATTTCGCTGTTACATATAACACCAGTAAACATGTGTGACATTATATATTTATGTGGCTATTTCTGTAGTAAAAATCTTAAAAATGAAGTTATGAATTGCTAGACTAAGGAATATATACATTTAAATCAAATTTGTCTCCAAAAATGTGTGTGTTTAGTTTGTCTTTAATTAAAGGGAATCCTAGTGTCTTGGAAGGAAAATTAGCTATCCAGGCAACTGCCTCATTTGGGAAGCCCAGACACATTAATCTCTTGCCCAGTAGTTACATAACTACTAAGTAGCTAACTTGACTCTCAAGCTGTTTTTACTGTGCCATAGGCTGGTGTGTTTTTCTGCTTTATTTAGAATATTGAGAATATTATTTTCATTTGTCTCAGTACCCAAAATCTGAGTACCACGAGAATAGTTTTCCCCAGAAACACTCTTTATCAAATTAGCCATCTGCTGTTATGCCCTTAGTACTCAAGCGTTTGTTGAATATGTGCCCCCTTCTGGTGATCAGCACTTTTATTTCCAAATATTTGTAAACTATTTATTCAGTACCATATTGAACAATCCATGTACAACTATAAATCTCACCATGCGCTTAAGAAATAAAAGGTCTTAATTTCCTCTTTCCCAAATATTTTTAACTTCCAATGTTTTCTGTTAGTGGTTGCTTTCCAAATAATTTTGTGGCTTTGTTTTTGCTGGGTAAAGAATGAGCTCAAAATTTGATGTTTTACATGGCTTTAGATAGATCAGTATTTCTATCTGGTATCACTTTCCTTCTACTAAAGGACTGATAGTACATGTTTGATAGTGATGAATTCATTAGCATTTTATGTCTGAAAAGGCATTTTGCCTTTGTTTTTAAAAGGTTTTTCTGGGTGTGGAAATCCTAGGTAGGTGTGTTTTTCTTTGTGGCTTTTGAAAGCTACTGCTCCAGTCATTTTCTCACCTGCCTGGTGCCTAGGAGTAGTCTGTCATTTTCTTTGATTCCTTTGTGTGAGGCATAGTTCTGTCTCACACTCTTAAGGTTCTCTGTCTTACTCAGTTTGATTAGTTTGATCATCATGTGCTTTTGTTGTTGTTGTTTTTATGGCTCTTAGGTGGGATTTGTCAAGCTTCTTACATCTATGTGTTTATAGTTTTCATCAAATTTGCAAATGTACTGCCTTATTTCTTTAAATATCTCTTCTAACACCCCCCCTTTCTTTGGGGACTCCAATTACAGGTACATTAAATGATTTGAAATCATCACACAGCTTGCTGATGCTATGCTCATAGTTTTCATTCTTTTGCCTTCTGGATTTTGCATAGTTTCTATTGCTGTGTTTCCAGTTCACTTACATTTTCTTCTGGAATATCTAAGCTACTATTATCCCATTCAGTGTAGTTTTCATTTCAGACATTGAAGTTTTCATCTCCCAGGGCTGGGGATTTAGCTCAGTGGCGTCATGCCTGCCTGGCAAGCACAAGGGCCTGAGTTCTATTCTGGTTCAAAAAAAAAAAGTTTTCATCTCCCAAAGTTTAATTTGTATCTTTTTTATGTCATCGTGCTTCTGCTTAGTGTTTTGAACAGGCACATCTTTTAAATACAGTGTTTGGGGTTTTTTTGTTTTGTTTGTTGGGGGGGGTTGGGGGGGTGAGACAAGATCTCACTATGTAGTTCAGGCTGACCTCGAACTCCAGGAATCCTCCTGCCGCAGTCTCCCAAGTTCTGGGATCACAGGCGTGTGACACCATGGCTGGTTTACATACAGTAGGTGTTTAGATAACCTTTTCTGTGAATTTCCACCTCTGTGTCAGTTCTGGATCAGTTTTAATCATGGATATTTTTTATTGTGGCCGGGAATTTTTGTTTAAATGTTGGAAATTATGAATTTTATTTTGTTGTGTGCTAGATATTATTATATTCCTATAAATATTCTTGAGACTTGTGCTGTTCAATGGATCCTTTCAGGTTTTGTTTTCAGGATTTGTTAGCAGAACTAGACCCGTTATTTCCCCCTACATTTTGAATATTCTATCCAGTATCCCATAAATTCTGAGGTTTTCCAGTCTAGCTGGTGGGAACATGCCCTGTTTCTAGCCCTGTGTAAATGCTGGGTTCTGTGTCCTCTAATTTTGTGTGTGGTCCCTTTCTTGCCCTGTAAGTTCTTCCTAACCCTACCCTGACCAGTACTCTGTTGATACTGGAGTTGTCCTCGGCAGGGTCTGGAGCACCTCCTCTGTGCCGTCCTCCCAGAACTGTATCCTGGGAACCCCAGCAGCCTGGGCCTCACCATCCTGTCAGCTCCACCCAGCAGCTCAGTCATCTGCTGGGCTCTGCCTGGGTTCCCCTCCCTGGGGTGGCCTGGAGCCAAGGTAGTACCTTGTGCAGGCCTTCTTTCCTGTTTCTCTGGGGAGCACTGTCCTTTGTTACTGGAACTTCCATATCTCCAAAACCATTGTTTCATTCTGGGGAATTTTTTTGCTTTGGTTTTGGTGGGGAAACTTGTGTTCAGTTGTCTTTTTTTGTGACTTCAAACATCAATAAATCTGTCCTTGTTACTCCGTCTTGACTATAAGAGGATATCTCTTTAGTCTGTTTCAGAATTAGAATCAGTGGCTTCTGAGATTTTTTCCAACCCTGAGATCTTTGATTTTTAAATTACATACTCTTTACCAGCTCATTTTTCTTTCTCCACTGAATTCCTTTTTCTCCTCAAAACATTACTATCTGTCTGTGTTTGGAACGTTGGCCGGATTAATTCTGGGGCTGTAAATGAAGCTTACATATGATATGAACACATTACACAGGATGATGGTGAGCAAGGTGTAATAGCAGAAAAATGGGTGTTTTCTCTAATATTGTGTGTGTGTGTGTGTATGTGTGTGTGTGTGTGTGTGTGTGTGTGTATTACTGGGGATTGAACCCAGGGCTTTGTACATGCTAGGCAAGCACTCTACCAACTGTGTTATGTCCCCAGCCCTTCTAATATTCTTAACATACAATCATACCTTAGTATTTGGCTACTTTGTTTTTTGTTTTGTTTTTGGTACTAGGGATCGAACTCGACCTTGTGCTTGCGAGGCAGGCGGTGGAAGCGCTGAGCTAAATCCCTGGCCCAGTATTTGACTACTTTGAAACTCCTTGAATTTGATACTTGATGCATTTTAACACAAAAAAATTGTCCCAGGATGTATCATTCTTTTACCATCCAAACTGGGAAGGTGTGTCTCAAAGTCAAAGAATGAAATTGTAGACAAGGAAGCAGTTAAGAGTAGTGTTGTTTGGAAGTATGAGAAGAGAGAAAGCTCCCAGTAGTTGGGAGGGGGTCTTGAAAAAGAGTTGTCAAGTGGGCTTTTTGTCTAGGGTCTTTTATATCGAGGTGGCCAGGTCCCTGGCCATAACAGACCATCGTGGGTTAGCCTCTAGAGTTTGGCTGTGGACTGTCCACTCTCTACGATGACCTGTGGAGAAACAGACCATGCAGCGGCCACACGCTAATCACACACTCTTTGGCCAGTCAGGAGTCTTGGCTGTGTAATTAGGGAGAACAAAGTAAAAGGGAAGAGGGCATTGGCTGCAGTGGTCTCCTTCCCTGTGTTTGCTTTTCCACTCCTGACTTAGCTGATTCTTAACCCCGTGTACAGGCTGACCCTGACTTCATCTTAGGCCCTGTCCCTCACTGGCTGCCCATTTATAAGCTAAATAGCTAAGTTACCTCTCACAATTTGTTTGGCATTTGACGCACAAACTAGAGCTTGTTGGCATTGATGGTAACTCACTACCCTTTCCAACCAAAATAATTTGTTTGGTTCTCATAGTTTGGTACTCAGTGCACTTCCCAGAACTGATTGAAGAGTACCAAGCACTGCTGTGTTTAGAGCTGTTTTCACCTAGTCTTCAGGATGTGGCTGTAGGTTCCCTTTAGGAATTAAATAAGTAAGATTTTTAACTGAAATGTTTTATTTTTAACAACCAGCACAGAGCTACGCAACTAGCATTTACATTCTAAAGAATTGCAGCAGCCCTTTTTTCCATTTCAGTGGAAAATACTCAACTGCATTATTCATTAATATGTAAGGAATCTCAAAACCTATATTTTACTTAAAGGAAGAGCAAGACCACCTAAGTTTTAGGGTTTCCACTTAGTAGTTATATAAATTTATTTAAATCTTCATTTCTGTAACTATTTTTCCTGTGTAAACTAAAGCTAGTATCGGTGCTACCCTAAAAGGATCATACAGAATACACATAAAAATGTGTTTTAAACCAGTGTTTTTACGTGATTTCATACACATATGTGCATAATCACAACATAAAACTTACTACCAAATATGATGCATGCTGGTATTTTCTGTTTTGTTGAAAAACCTTTAGTAGTGACCCAGTCATGAGTCAGAGCTCATAGTATAAAATTCGTTGTGTGATGAGGTGCCCTATTAATAGAAGGTGGTGGTGCTTAGATTATATGCTGTTATTTCTGTTATCAAGTTTCACTTCCAAAATGAGTATGTAGTGTAGTTAGTAATGTATACCTTTATTAATAGTTTATACAGGATTCTTCTCCACATTTTTAGTTCCAAACTTTCTTTTCCCTAATGAGTAGGCCAGTAATAACTTAGAAGGAGAGGTGAGGGGGAAGTAAAAGTGTTTAAGATATGGTATGCATAAGATGAATGCAGTTATTAAGTGTTGCAAACATATATACTAATAAAAAACTTAGAAATTGTTCAAAGAGAGCTGAGCATGGTGGCACATGCCTATAACCCAGCACTTGGGAGGCTGAGGCGTGAGGATCACCATGAGCTCTAAGCCAGTGGGGGCTATACAGTGAGTTCAAGGCCAGCCCAAACTCTATAGCAAGACTCTGTTTAAAAATAAAAAATTGTTCAAAGAGTTGCCTCTAACATTATCTTCTTGGTAATGATGTTCAAGTATTTTCTTATGCTAAGGATTATGGGTGAGGCATGGTAAATTGCTAGAAATAATATTAGCTTTGTATCCTTATTTACAAATTAGATAGTGTTTCTTAAAAGTTTTGTCATTTTTTTCCACATCTTTTAAACAAGGTTTACTGTCCGTGCTGGGCATGTACACCTGTAATCCCAGCATGTGGGAGGCTGAGGCAGGAGGATTCCCCTGAGTGTGAGGCCAGCCTGGGCTGCATAGAGAGTTCAAGCCCAGGCTGAACTACATAACAAGACCCTGTCTCACAAAGATTACTGTCAGTGAAAAAGATGCTGTTACAGTAAAAGAGTTGTAGTGAGTTAACTTTTTCAAGATACTAAATGACCAAGGGTAGTTCAGTCTGTTATTGGTGTTCTGTTAGCCGTAAGAAGTTTCAGTCTGTCCTACAGTTCTATAGATCTGTGCTACAAAAACATACACCGCAGCATTTTCCACAGCAGGTGCCCTCCTCACAGTAGGTTTCCTGATCACTGAGGAGACGCTGGCGTGATGTTCCCTAGTGGTCTATGCGTGCTGGAGCAGCTGTCCCCTGGACCTGCTGTCTGCCCCAGCACTGTACACTGCCAGTGGAAAGTTCTCTCTCCCTCCCTCTCCTAAGTTGACCTCATGTGATTTTAGAGTTAAGAACCCCTAATGTCGACAGAGAGTTCACACAGTTGCTTGTAGCATGAAAAGTAGCATGGGATCTTTGTAAATTTATAAATTTAAAATTTTTTTCCTCAACAGATAGACATGATTGAAATGTTCATGTTTCTTCTTTATACTCTCTAAACCTTTCCAGACTTATAGGAAATTTGTTGCTGGGTAATACGGTAGAAAGAATTGTGTGATCTAATGTTCAAATCATCTACCAGAGGACTTTGGATAAAAAAATGCTTTCTTAATGTGTTTTCCAGATGACTGTGACCTTTTGAAATTGCCTCCACACACACACTTAATTTTAAGGCTCCTAGATTGGTGAAGTTCAGCAATAGAAATTACTGAGGTAAAATATTTAAATTGAATAAACTAGAAGAAACTATCATGAAAAAGCTATTTACTCCTAGAATAGAAATAACTTATAGAAATTTAGTTCCCAAGTGCTTTGGTTGGGAAATGGTGCATTAATTGAAATACTGTGTTAATAAAGAGTTATAAGCTATTTTAAAATAATTTTAAAATACTAGAATCTATGTAACTATGCTGAATATAATTTTTAGTATTTCTTTGACTCGGGAGGTCGTGAGACTCTAGATATACTGGTTAAAAGTATTACACATAACATTTTAGTATTTTGTATTTTTCTTAATGATTTCTACCAGTATTAGCTGATTATCCTCAATTCTATTAGCACTTCTTATGGTACTCTCCATGTAGTAATCTCGTAGCTATGTTGTCAAAGCTGCCAACAACTTGATGTACTTAAGGAAACAAAATTCTGATTGATTCCAATCTGTTTCTTTCAGAAAAGTCTCCACTCACATCATGGATTTTGGAGACCAGATTACTGTATTCCAGAGATCCTGGTTACAGTACAAGAAGTGCTTAATTTCTCATTTCTGCAAGTGATCATGACTATTGAAGAAAAATTGTTTTAGCTACAGTAACATCAAGTTTGGTCCCTTTTATGGAAATCCTGATTTTATTTCTAAATCTCGACAGCTTTTTGCTAAAGGTATGAACACACAAAGAGCTTATCTGGGTAGGCAAATGCACCTTGCTGAGAATGTCTAGAAGAGGCTCCACTCTCCCCACCCGTGCCCACTGGCTGCTCCTGGGTCTGGCTCTGCTCTTCAGCTTAGTGTTGTTCCTGTACCTTCTGGAATGTGCCCCTCAGACCGATGGAAATGCATCTCTTCCTGGGGCTGTCGGGGAGAGTTACAGTAGAGAGTACTATCAGGCCCTCTTACAGGAGCAGGAGGAACATTATCAAACCAGGGCAGCCAGTCTGAAACGCCAGATTGCCCAGCTAAAGCAAGAATTACAAGAAGTGAGTGAGAAGATGAAGTCACTGCAGGAGAGAAGGAACGTAGGCGCCCGGGGCATAGGCTACCACGGTAATGGCGAGCAGGCCCCTGGTGACCTCCTAGGGTTCCTTCACTCCCAGATCGAGAAGGCCGAAGTCAGCGTAGGAGCCAAACTTCCCAGTGAGTACAGCCTCGTCCCTTTCGAGAGCTTTACCTTAATGAAAGTTTTTCAGTTGGAAATGGGTCTCACCCGCCATCCTGAAGAAAAGCCAGTTAGAAAAGACAAACGAGATGAATTGGTAGAAGTTATTGAAGCTGGATTGGAGGTCCTTAATAATCCTGATGAAGAGGATGAACAGGAAAATGAGGAGGGTCCTCTTGGAGAGAAACTGATATTTAATGAAAATGACTTCATAGAAGGTAATGTGAAAAATATATTGGTAAATGGTTACATAGCGGGACAATATGCCAGTATTTATGCCTACATGTCAGTCATTAACAAAGTATTGAAACATTTTTTTACTCCTTTCATTGTGCCAAGAATTCCAAGTAGTTTTTTGAAAAAGGTGATAATGAAATCATAATAAAAATAGAGAATAAGGACCAGGAATGTAGAGGAATCTATGCCTCTATGAGAATCCCAGCCACCAAGGTCAAAGGGCCCTTGTGGGCTGGGTGTGTGTTTGCTTGTGGAGGATTTGCATTCTTCTCTTATCTTGATGCTCCTTTTTCTGTTCTTAAAAATGTATGAACTGAGGCTCAAAATTTGAAAGTCATTTAATAAGGAAAGAAAAACTTATTTAGTAGACTTGTGGTTATTTTCCATTTTGAAGGAGGAAGACGCATGGGCCAGAACATCAAGGGGTCACACAGTTTTTTGGGTTTTGGGGTATTTGGAAAGGTAAGAAATGGCATAGTTTCCTATAAGATTGCAGAAAGGGCATGGCACTTTTAAAATGGGACCTGACTCAGAGGTCAAAGAATACTGCCATAAATTTAAGATATTTGTTGATTGATGGAAACAGGGATAATTCTAAGTTGGTACGCATCTCCATTTTAACACCTCCTGCTAGACATTTAATGAAAGGCTTAACACCATTTTGGATATAAATCTTTCTTTAAAATTCTTTCGTTCTGTAAACAGCCTACACATATAGCTTTTCCTTTTATTTTGCTTTGCTTTTTCACTCCAAGTCACCCTGGCTGTCCTACTGCCTGGACCCACATGGCCTTTGAGGCCTGCGGGCAGGGCATCCTGTTGGGCCGGGACCTCCCAACTGTCTTCTTGTGGATACTTCTCTACTGTTACTTCTTGCCATTTGTCAAGAGTTATTTCTCTCAGAATTCTTCCTATTTGTCTGCAGACTCAGCCTTTTGTCTCCTCACTCCATAGCTTGTGGCAGAATTGAAAGCTGCAGAGGAAGTGGTTTAGGAACATATGCAATGCCCTCAGGGCTCTGCCTGGGAGAAGGAAGCCACACCTGTTTCACAGTCCTCAGCTTCTGCTTAGCTTCAGCTTGGCTTCACGCCCTTAGGGTTCTCTGCATGGAGCTGTTCTGTGGCTCCCTTCTCCTCTATACCCTGCCCTGTCACTTGGAGTCATTGCTGGCAACCCTCGAGCGATGCCTGCCCCCTTCCAGGCCATAGCACAGATGTCACTTTTTCAGGAAGCCTCTGAGCCCCAAGTTAAGATGGCAGTGCTTCCTCTGCTTTGTCACCGCTGCCCTGCACCCTCTCAGGCTGGTTGTGGTATATGGTCTGCCCACTTCCTGCTTTGTCTTCCTGCTGGACAGTAGGCTTCAAGGCTTGGACATACCTGTCTGTCCACCATTTTATTTATTCCCAGATGTTGACCGAGTGGCTCATCAGTGAGTCTAACCACTTTCCTGACTATCACACTTGAAACTTAGTTTGCCCAGGCTGGTTATGGTGGCACAGGCTTGTAATCCCAGCATGTTGGAGACTGAGGCAGGAGGATTGATACAAGCTTGAGGCCAGCCTGAACTACATAGTGAGACTCTGTCTCAAAAAAACCAAAAGAAAACAAAGCAACAAAAAACAGACTCCCCAGGAGCCTTGCACACTTTTTTCCTAAAGGCATCTCAACTCACCATATTAAAATTGATACTAATTTTTCTTTGATTTCATTCAGTAAAAAATACAAACATGCACACACCTTTGTTTGGGGGGGGGGTACCGGAGATCAGACTCAACATGCACTGTGTTTTTACTGTTTCCTTCTTCTGTCTCACTCACTAGACCAGTCCTTCAACAGAGCTAAGCCTGTCGTCTTTGAGATCATCAGTAACTGCCATGAAGGCTCTGATTTTTTTTTTTTTTTTCTTTCGGTACTGGGGATCAGACTGAGGACCTTGCGCTTGCAAGGCAGGCACAGTGCCACTGAGCTAATCCCTGGCCCGGCTCTGATTATTTTCGTGAGCGAAAACAAGCAATAGAAGTTGTGACTCTTGGACTCAGAATTTAATATTGCTAGAAATAGCTTCTTTATTTTTCATATGGTTACTGTGCTGATAGGCTTTAGTATGAAGAAAGTCATATGTAAAAAAGGAATAATTACAGGGGCCAGGGATTTAGCTCAGTGGTTCCACCACCTGCCCTGCAAGCGCAAGGACCCGAGTTCAATCCCTGGTACCAGAAAAAAAAAGGAATAATTACAGTGGTGCCTTGATTCACAAACGATTTTGTCTGTGAACTCTGCCTCAGGTGATGAACACTCAGCCATCTTTTCCAGAATCATGGATCAAATTAAGTTTGTGAGCCGAGGTACCACTGTATCCTTTGGAACATATTTAATGAGTTGGATGATATAGCAGAGCAGTAAGCCTGTTTTTATTCCTATTTTTAAAGAAATAGTTCTGTGGGAATATTGGCACAAATAGATAAAAACTCTATAGGTTTGGCTTCATACTGTAATCATTGAGTAAAGACTATATATCCTGTTGCAAACTGACATGAACCCATCTTTGTTCCATACTCTTTGCTTTAGGTTACTATCGCACTGAGAGAGATAAGGGGACACAGTATGAGCTCTTTTTCAAGAAGGCAGACCTGATGGAGTACAGACACGTGACTCTCTTCCGCCCTTTTGGGCCTCTCATGAAGGTGCAGAGTGACGTGGTTGACATCAGCAGGGCCATCATCAACATCATCATGCCGCTTGCTCAGAGAACGGAGGCCTTCACACAGTTCATGCAGAACTTCAGGTAGCTGTCAGATGCTGAGGGCTTGGCTAGCTTTTCCTAGAAAACTCACATTTCATGCATCTTTTCTGGTTTATCTTCACGAAGTATGATTACTTAGGATTATAGAATAATCTTACAAGCTTTAGGCTAGCCTTATTTTTGAAATTCTCTTTTTCCTTAAAGTGCATATAGCTAGTTTCTTGACAATTTGAACTGTAAGTCGAGAGTGGCAACTATTAGAAGCTGAATTCAATGACTTTTATAACTATGTGTGAATTCATGTTAGGACAAGTTTGAATTTTTAAAAATTACTTTATTGAGACATAATTTACATTCAATGAAATCCATACGTTTTAAGGATAAGTAAGTCATTTTCATGACTTTTGACAGATGTATTCACTTGTAAACCACCATCCAAATCAAAATTATTTTTATCTTCCAAAAAACCTCCTCAAGAATAATTTAAGATTGAAATAAATTTAGAACTATAAATAGTGAACTAAAGTGGGAGAAGGTTATTCCATCTTGGGAAGCAGAGTATTTCTGTTTTTCTTTGGTCACTAAATTTTGGTATTTTAGAATGCTGAAGTGTTGATAACTGCACATTAGAATAACAATTTGAGAAAATATTGCTTTTTTGTTTTAACATTTTCATGTTTTAGTTACTTTCGTATGCTACTTTTAGTGCTTTGTGATGCTAACCTTTATTCTTATATTGAAAAAGTAGTTAACCCTATTCTGCAGCAAAATATTTAGGAGTTGTACTTATGAATGAGTTTTTTTTTTCATTAAGTTTATTGGTACATTTTAGGTATACAGTACGATGATATTCATCATTGGGAATTTGTGCCTTTAAATGATATATCTTGGTTCTTATTTTTTCCCCATTCCCATGTCCTCCCTTCATCCCCTCTACCCTTCCCTATTTACAAAGACTTTGTTTCCATTTTTTCCTTTTCTCTTATTTATTCCTTTCCCTTCTGTCCTTTCCCCTGCCCCTCCTACTTCCCCTTCCCCTTTAGACCTTTTCTTCCTATTTCACATTATCAGTTACACATTTTTTTGATCTTTATTTACACTTTCAGTTTCTCACACTAGAGAAACTATTCGCTATTTACACATATGTGTCCTATTTATTTCACTTAAGAGTATGCCCTCAATGTGCATCCATTAGCTATAAATGTCTTTAGTTTCTCATTCTTTATGGCTGAGTAGTACTCCATTTTATTAAAAAACCACATCTTCTTTATCCAGTCTCCAGTTGGTGGGCACTTGGGCTGTTTCCAAGTTTTAGCTATTACAAACTGTGCCTCTCTAAATGTGGGTGTGCATATATCGCTGTGGTATGATTCTTTTAATTCTTTTGGGAAGATCCCCAGCAGGGGAATAGCTGGGTCAAGTGGGACCTCTAATTCTGGTTTTTTGAGGTATCTCCATACTGATTTCCACAGTGGCTGCACCAGTCTACACTCCCACCAGCAATGGAGAAGGTTTGAAATAGCTCTCTTGAGAGCTGATACCATAAAGCATTTTTCCTTGGCATTATCTTCAGAGGTTATATTATTCTTTACAGTAAATATTCTTAGTCATAGCAAATATTTACTCTGATGATAGGTATAATTTTTGGAATTTGCCCGTTTGAGGACAAAATAACTGTTGATCCAAAACCTAAATATTAAATATTTATTTATTTGGTTCTGAACTAATTGAACTTACTTCCTTGAAAAGTTTATAATTTGCTTCTGAAACAAATTCCAAAACAAAAGTTCCAGAAACATGCTGCAATTGAGCCATAATGCTGGACTGCTTCCTTGGCCGTCTGAGGTCGCTGCTGGCATAGACTTCATGCTTTGCTGTGATGTCATAAACAACTGGGCAGCACTGTCACCTTAAATCACTAATGCTTCCTGTGACTTTACTCTGTCAGTAGTGCCTCACTTATTTTCTTGTAAAAGCTTCACCTGATTGTTCTCTGAGTAAGTAGTACCTCGTGTTTTCTTAAATTTTATTTTTCAATTCTGCTAGGGATGTTTGTATTCATCAGGACAAGAGGATCCATCTTACGGTGGTGTACTTTGGTAAAGAAGGACTGTCTGAAGTCAAATCTATCCTAGAATCTGTCACAAGGTTGGTGAGTCATGCCCATAACGAAGTCCTTGGTAGATGGCGTTGGAAGAATGAGGATTTCAGATATGTAAAGTTCTGGTGCTTTCGAATAGCTGATGAGCATGGGGTGGTGGTGTGGAGCTCTTCATTTCACAGCAGCCCTGCAGAGCCTGTCCTCCCCAGCTCCCAGCAAGTGCCAGCTGTCCTCTGGGGCCTCCCCCTTCTGCACACTTGCTTCTCTCCCTTTTCTAGGTCTAAACCCTGTGCTTTGCTGTCCCTGTCTCCTGAGCTGGCTCTTACTTATCTCCTTCCTTTCTTCTGTTTGCTCACTATGCTTCTTTTCACCCTGCAGACGATGTCCAAGTCTCCATGTGTCTAAGAGCCCCTGACTCTGCAGGGTGCATCAGCTGCTCTTATAGTGGGGTCCTCTCCCAGTCAGACCTCACAGAGCAGTGGTTGGATCACTTAAGCAGTCTATTGGGTAGCTGGCACATAGTAGGCGCTCAGAGGTTTGAAGGGATGAATTCGTCATTCCTTAATATATCATTTTTTTCTCGTTAGCTTCTCAACCTTTTTCTCTAAATTGTGGGCCCAAAGATACAGCCCAACTGTCAAAATCAGCCATTTCTGTTATCTTTGATTGCTTTTTTACATGACACTAACCGCCACTTCTTAAATATTGTTACATTTGAAAAATGTAAATATTTGTAAGTGTGAAGTAACAGCAGCATGTAGGTTGCTTGTCCAGTCTAGCCATAGTAGCACCGCACCCTTCCCTTGCTCCTTTGCCTGCCCCTGCTGGTGGCCATCACCGAGTGCCAGACTGGGCCAGCACTCCACTCCAGCTGCTAACACTTGCCCAGCCCACCTTCTCTGTCCCAGGTACACTGCGTGGGAGTCCAGGCCAGTCAGAGGAGGTCAGGGCCCAGCTGGGGCACCTGCGTAACACTGACATGCATCAGCGCACTCACCCTCTTCCCCTCCACACCTGCCCTGGGGGCCCTCTTTCAGCTCAGAGTCAGACCTAAGGTGCAAGAGCTGAGTCTTACTCAGCTGTGTCTGTCTGAAGAGTTACTTCCTATTTGCATCTGTCCTTTCCCCTGACCAGCTCCCTCTCCCTCCATTTCTTCTCCTCTTCTCTCCCCAGATACCAGGTGCTTGCCCTGGTACCTCTGCAAATCATCCCTGTTGTCAGGATGCCTCTGTGGCAGGTGGTGGAAAGTTACCTTGAGCTGCTTGAGGAAGGATCAGGATTGAAGAATCTGGGGTACCTCCCAGAAATGGAGGGACTGTTACAGGCAAACTCAGAGAAGATCGAGACAGCTCTGGGGTCTTAGGGCTGGGACCAGAGGCATGGACGCCATCAGCGCTCTCTCGCCATCATCTTGCCGTTCTCTGCATGTTGACTCCCTTCTCCTGTTGCAGATTGGCTTCTTCCACATGCTGAGGGATGTGGCTGTTGGCGGCTCTGAGCTCACACTTCTCAGCTTTGCCATCAGAGAGGAAAGCACTTTCTCCCTCCAGTTGAGCTCCAGTTGAGAAAATCCCAGGGAAGGACATTTTCCCACTCTTTAGCCAATCACTGTGGCCAGGTGGGGTGGAGGTGTGATTGGCCCCACTTGAGCCTGATCCCCACTTCCAGGAAATTACTGGGGTGGGGTGGGTGGAGTGAGGGTGTGCTATGATCAGGGCATCCAGGTGGTGCTGGGCAGTGGGGTGGTAATGGGCAGGTTCCCCAAAAGAAAGGCGAGGTCTCCATACTGTAAAGTGGGTAGAGGAGTCCCAGGTCTCCCCAAAACAACTTGATCTTGCTTCCATCTCCATTATACACACCATGCCCTGCTAAGAGCAGCCTTCCCCATGTTCTCATTGGGTGTCTCTGCCTCCTGTTGCAGTGACTTGTCAGCTTGGTGTGGAGGCACAGGGTGCCCAGTCTACCCTCCACCCCATTCAGGGAGCCAGAGTTAGAGACCGTCATTTGCATCTAACGGGTTCCCAGGGGGTGGTGATGCTGTGAGACTGGAAGCCTGCTTGTGACAGCCACTTTCCTAACAGAATATCCCACCAGCCCTCTGGCCTTAAGGGTCCCGTGTTCCATAACCTCGTACAGAAGTTGCTCTTCAATCTGACTCCCCTCACATTCCCATCTTAGGGTCCCTTGGTCCAACCTTCTTCTCACTGTTCCTATTTTAGGGTCCTTTGTTACCATCTGACTTGTCTGACCCCTAAATGCTTCCTCTAAGACACTTTCTACTTTATCTGCTTTTAAGAGTAATTACTGGGAATGACCTTTATACTTGACACTGAGTTCAGGATTTTAATGCAGGCATAACTCACATTCCACTTCTGGTGTCTTCTCTGACTGCTCTAGACATAGCCATCTCTCTCCCCAGAGCTGCTGCTCATTCATTCAGCAGCTATGCATTGAGCTCTGACTCTGCAAGGGCACTTTGCATAGGAATGGACAAGACAGAAGCCTGCTGTCATGGAGGGGAACGTGTGAACTAGTATGTCTGGAGGTGCTGAGGAGAGCAGCCAAACATGGTATCAGGGAGGAGCCTGTGACCAGAGCATGTCCAGTGGCTGCATGTGTCTGGTATGGGTGACATGCAGCAGTTCCCAAACGTGGCTGCTTCTCCACTCATGATGTGTCATCATCTCCCGGGTGGGCACTGGCCACTTAGCAGCACCTGTTAGGCCTCACATCACCAGCATGTCTACCCCTGGCCTGTAGGCACTCAGTGAACCTCAGTCCCTGGTAGCCTTGTGCCAGGAAAACTGACACTTGCCTTTCCCTGCGTGAATGAAAACCGGCATTGTGAAATATCTGAAGTATAAACCATGTTTGTAAGTTCTGTTGAAGGAAGAACATTGTAACTCTAAGTGGGACTCATCATTTGTTATATGTGCTTTCCTCATAGTGAGTCTAATTTTCACAATTACACCTTGGTCTCATTGAATGAAGAATTTAATCGTGGACGAGGACTAAATGTGGGTGCCAGAGCTTGGGACAAGGGAGAGGTCTTGATGTTTTTCTGTGATGTTGATATATATTTCTCAGCCGAATTCCTTAACAGCTGCCGGTTAAATGCTGAGCCAGGTGCGTAAACTGTGATGAGCTGAATACAAAATTGAGAATAGTGTTGGCATGTCCCATGATTTGAATCAAGTTAATTTGAGGGAAAGGGAGTTTTAATGCAAGCCGGGGATGTTCTTTCATAAGTGGTATTAGGCATAATTTACCTGGAAAACTAACAAGTTGAAAATTTGACTCTCTGTAGTTTACATCCTTTGTTCTCTTGGGGCCAAATTCCAATGGCTACATTTGAAGCCAAGTAAAGAAATGCAAAGAAATAGAAGTCTGGAAACTCATGAGAAGGAAACAACTCCAGGCAGAAAAAGAGCCACCCAGATGGTGTGGATACTTGCGAGTCTGAGGGACTCAACCTGTGGAGGGGATCGCGCACACTCTGACGAACACACACACGTGTGCACACTCAGGCGGTGTGTGGTCTTCAGACTATACATTTTGGGGTGACTTGCTGCTGTACTTTATGCTGTAGATGTTTTTTGAAAATGAATGGCCAAATGACAGTTTTGTGAGTCAACTTTTATTTTAAATTTAGAAAGGCAAGTTTTCTGTATTAAAACTCAATAGGAGTAATAAGTTCAGGAACATTGTGCAACCTGATAATGTAGATAGTAACAGTGCACTGTGTACTTGAAAACCGCTAATAGAAGTTGACTTTAAATGCCCTCACCATAAAAAAATAAGTATGGGGGCTGGGGATTTAGCCCAGTGGTTTCGCCACCTGCTGTGCAAGCACAAGGACCCGAGTTCGATCCCCAGTACCAAAAAAAAAAAATAAGTATGGGGTGAGGGATATGTTAATTAGCATGATTTAATCATCTCATAGGCATGCATATATCAAAACATGATGGTGCTTAAATATATACAATTTTTATCAGTTAATATACAGTAATTTTAAATGAAAGAATCTCATTTTGCATGGAACTCTTCATATCATGCAAAGCCTAATTTTTTACTAAGGGCTTTGGGTAGGGAGAATTGTCCAGAGTTTTCTGAGAGCCTGATCAGTAAGTATGGGTCAGGTTTGTTCTTGTTACTCCAGACAGCATGAAATTCAAAATCTAGATATTGAAGGAGACATACTTGTTCAATGTAAAAGACATTTTTATATCCAGAAATAGCTTTGCCTCTGGAAAGTTGCGCCTTCCTGGTCCTAAATGGGTTTGAAGGAAGTGGGCTGGCATCTGCTGGGCTCTAGTAATAAGGGTGAGTGTCACTTACAGGTCTTCAGCAGCTGACACTTCCATAGCCAGGCCTGCTGAGGGCCTCTCAAGTGGCAGGCGGCCAGGTGCCAGTAGCCTCAAGACCCTTCAGACTCTCAGTTTGAATGCTGAGGATAAGGTCTTCCACAAGAGTTGTGATAGCAGGTGTTTTTTTGTTTGTTTGTTTGTTTTGGTACCAGGGATCGAACTTGAGACCTTGCACTTTCGAGGCAGGCGCTGGAACCACTGAGCTAAATCCCTGGCCCATAGCAGATATTTTTAATCCCTGTCTTGCCAGCCTCCCCAGATCTTGGTTTAAATCTGTCTACATTTCTATATTAATTATTTTGTACATATCTAGATATTATATAATATTCTTTGCATTTGCTGTTTTTAATTATTCTCTGGGAAGGGTGGATTTAACAGAAGTTTGTAAGTTTCTTGATGCTTGTCAGAGGTTAATATCTCTTACTGCTGACTAGATGACTTAATGAGTAATAAAAGGCTCACCTAATAAATAGATGAGAGAATACCTTTATATATCTCCCCAAAGTCAAGGGGACTAAACACATGACATTCCCTTTAGTCTGGTTTGTTTTTGTTTTTTGCAAGGTTATAGTTTTATTCCCTGACTTACTGATAAAATCATCATCACGTTCATCCAGGCAACATGATGTTCTGCAGCTTGAATATTGAGGATGTATGATTATAAAAGACTTCATTAAAGTCTCTATCAAGTAATAAAGATGTTGTTCATTTGATACCTCCTTGGGTGATATAAAATATGTTTTAACTTACAGGTAGAAAGGTGTTTTACCCTGTGGTGTTCAGCCTTTACAACCCTGCCATCGTTTATGCCAACCAGGACCCCCCACCCCCTGTGGAGCAGCAGCTGGTGAGACTTTGACAGTGTTGGTTGTGAGCAGCTCTAGAGAGCCTTTTATGTTTGTTGTACAAGAAGCAAACACAAGTTCCCATAACAAAGCACATTGTTACAAGCACATTTCCAGTCTCTTTCACACCTCTGACCCCCAGTAAGATGCTTTCAGAAGTAAGTGTCAGGGAGAACAGTGTAGGCCATGAAGAAAAACCTCACGTTCCAGAAAGTGGAAATTTTACAGTCATCTCTGCCAGCTTACTTTTTTTTTTTTCTTTTGGTACCGGCATCGAACTCGGGTCCTTGAGCATGGAAAGCAGGCGGCAGAACCACTGAGCTAAATCCCCGGCGCCTCTGCCAGCTTACTTATAGTAACATTGAAAATTTAATTTTGAGAATTCCACCAAATAGGTTTAGGATAGAATGATGGCCTAGCACGTGCAAGGCTGTGGGTTTCATCCCCAGCACTGATCCTAAAAAACTCCACTAACATGTCACCATCTGTTGGCATTACCCTAATACACATATCCCTCCTTCTCATCTGTCGGGCAGTATTACTTGGGAATATAGATACAAATAGGGTCAAACTGGCAAGTTCCTCTGACATCTCACACCCTAAATATGAATTATTACCAAAACATAGGGCCGAGTATGGTGGTGCACACTTGGAATGCCAGCCCTCTTGGAGGCTGAGGCAGGGTGATCACAAGTTCAAGATCATCTTGGGCAACTTAGCGACTCAACAAGACTGTCTCAAAATCTAAAAATACAAAAAGGGCTGAGGAGTAGTTTAGGGTGAAGGCCCTGGATTCATTCCCCAGTATTTAGGGCAGGGTGGGGTGGGCTGCTATATTAGTATTAGAAAGTGAGAGAAGCCATCAGCAGACACAAGTTTTGAGAAATTTGTGTAAGATGGCAGCATTTGACATAGGATGTGGAGGAGAAAACAGTGTGTGGGCTCCTAGCGAGGATTCTGAGCAGCACCACAGGGCTGGCGTGCCACCAGAGCCAGGGTGTGGCAGAACCCAGGCCTCCCTGAACGGCCCCAGGTGAGTTCTCCCTTTGATGCCTCTGCCTACGTTGCTCTTGCTCAAGACGGGTGCTGCAGTCGTGGCTCATAGCCATGGGTTTTTGAATAAGAATTTTTTTAACAAAAATGAGTAGTAGCTAGTGAAGACTAACCATATATTTAAGAAAAACCAATATCATGAAATTTTAATGAACAGAAAAATTACATGAGAACATGAATGCCAGTAGAAAATCACTCTAAAATAATTCAGCTTTAGAATAATTAGAGAAAACATTAAATTGATAAAATAAGATTTATTGATATAAAATAATCAAACTTAGAAATTGTATAAATATAAAAATATATTTTTACAAAAATCAGTGCACAGGAGACCAGGGATTTAGCTCCGTGGTTTCGCCGCCTGCTGTGCAAGCGCAAGGACCCGAGTTCGATCCCCAGTACCAAAAAAAAAAATCAGTGCATTGGCTGAATAGCACAGTAGCCACAGATCAAACATTTATTTGAGCCAGGTGTGGTGGCACATAGCTGTAATCCCACTGCTCTGGAGTCTGAGGCAGGAAAATGGGCGTGAATTCAAGGCCAGCCTGCTCTACGTAGTGATTTCAAGGCCAGCCTGAACTACAGAGCAAGACCCTATCTCAAAAAAACAGATTTGTGTACTGGAGGACAATCCTTTGGGGCACATGGAAACCAAGAGAGGAACCTGAGACATGGAGAATCGGTCTGGAGCTCTCAGATTGCTTAGTAGAAGCTTTAGAGGGAAGAGTAAGAGGATGGGCTGAGTAGAGGATGGAGGAGTATGTCAGAGAGCTAAAGAAAGAAACCCTCTCGGTGTGGAGAGCAGCGAGGGACCATCCTGATGGCCTCCAGAGGCCCCAGCCCAGCTCACTGTCTACAGAGAAGGAAGAACTGGGTTGCGTCTTCCTCTTTTTGCTCACGTGCTAGGAACAGTAAAGCAATGCCATGACAGTTGTGAAGGCAGATAGCTTTGATGTAGAATCCATAATGAACGCATCATTTGAAGACAAAACAGACATTTTGAACATTCAAGGATTCAGTTTTCTTCTCAAAGACCTTTTCTAGTTCAGCAGAATGAGAAAGAGACATATTGAGAAGACTAGAGAATAAAATAGCAATTAACAAGAACACAATAGAACACTTGATCAAATTCTAAATAGTTTATGATGATATACATAATATTAAAAAAAAGAATAGCCTCGTGGATTTAGAAATGAAAGGGCATGTGAGTGATGTGTATGCAAAGTACATACGTGTGTGTTTGACTCAGCTCTCCTAGCAGCAGCAAGTACCCAGCTCCCGCATCCTAGTTTCAAGTGCTGTTCTACAACAGAAGGAGCTGGCACTCCTGAAGAAGGGGTAAAGGTAGGGCTGGAGCAAGAAGTATGCAAGAGTAGCCTGGAGTGTTTATAGCACCCTAAAATAAGAAAATGCCATCTGATGGAAGGACAGGGTCTGTCAGAGCAGCATAAGAGCCACAGAGCTCCCAACAGCTGGGCTGGGACAACCTGAGCAGCAGATAAATTACCTGGACCTGGATTATAACCCCCATCATAAAATAAAAACCCATGAACCCTACTTTAGAAATGCAAGAGTGAATAAACAGTGGATGGACCGCTGGATTAGGTGGGGCAGAGATGAGTCCTCCTTACAGAAGTCCAGTAAGTGGATACTCCTCCCTGAAGGTAGATTGAGGTAAGTTCCTTCCAGAGACTAGTGTGGAAAGAGAGAATAAACTTCTTTTAAATTTATTTGTTGGCTGGGGATTTAGCTCGGTGCTGCTGCCTGCCTCGAAAGTGCAAGGTCCCAAGTTTATCCCTGGTACCAAAAAAAATTTTGTTAACTGAAACATAAAGAATTGTATATACTCATAGGGGACCATGTGCTATTTACACATACACATTGTGAAGTATTCCAAATCACGGTAAACATCTAGCTCCTCCAGCAGTTATCTTTCCCTATGGTAAAAACATTCCAAATTGGCCCAGGGATTTAGCTCAGTGGTTCCATCACCTGCCTCAAAAGTGCAAGGTCCAGAGTTCGATCCATGGTACAAAAAAAAAATTCCAAATCCTATCTTCTAGCTTCCTGAACACACAGTGCATCCTTGCTGTATGTAGCCACCCTCTGGGTGTAGCAGTCTCACTGTAACTTACCTCTGGTCAGCCTCTTCCATCCCTCCCTCCCTCCTCAGCTCCTCAGCCTGTGGTCACCAGCATCCTGTGCTTACCTATGAGGTCAGCTTCTTAATCTCCCACCTAGGAAAGAGATGGGAAAACAAGCTTTTGAGAACTCTGCAAACACTCCTTACCCAACTGGTCAGGTGACATTGCCGCTGTGCATGTGTCTGCCTTGAGCTGTTGGTGGAAGGCCCGAGTGCTGACTCGGTGAGACATGCAGGAGCCCTGTCCACTGTGTGAGCCTTTGCACCTGCTCAGCTTTGCTAAGCTTGGCCACCTCACTAAAGACAGAAAAGCCTGCACCACTTTCTGTTTAAACTTGGATGAGCAGTAAATAGCACACAGATAAAAATCATTAGCAATAAACATTGAACTAGTCAACCTTACTAGGAATAAATCACAACAGCTGTATAAATACTTTTTTCTGCTGTGAAATTGCTGCTTTTAAAAATCACGGCCTTTCAATCATCAGCATCACAAAAAAACCGAAACTCTCAGCCAGCAGCCACACACGTGGGGGTGGGCAGCCTCTGGGCTGGTGACCTCTATGCCCAGGTTCCCCCAAGCCAGAGGTCACTGGAGCCTCAGAGTAGCCACATACGGACATTGACACTATGAGGTGCAAGCACAGCAGTGGCAGTGAAATGATGGACTGAACTACAGTGCTGCGGCAGATATTGTGGAGCAAGAGAAAGGAGTTGAGATGAAAGTAGAGCAGCATAAATGAGGAAGATAGACGTGGCATGTCCATTTTAGATGACATGGTAAAAATAACAGTGGCTAGTGTCTCACATGCCCAGCACTGCCCTACTCGGCCTGCGTGTTAGCTCATGGAGTCCTCTGCACAGATGATGGTATAGCTGGGCTGCGCGGGTAGGCCCACGGGCACCGCTGGCAGCACAGGTGAGCAGCATGCCACAGGACCTGATCCTGTGTGTGGCCCAGGTGCCTCTAGCGTCTGAATTCAGTGCAGATGGTGGGTCTCCTGGGCCCAGCACCCTACGGGCCTGCTAATGTGGGTCTTTGTTGTGGTAGAAGACAGAAAATAAGATCCGATTAAAAAAAGATAATAAGATTAGATAGTAAATGGTGTGTAAATCATTAAACCAAGCCAAGTTGTGAAGGCCAATTAGGTGATGTGTGTGTGTGTGTGCACGCTCAGAGTCAGGCTTTTCTGAAAAAGGATGTTAGGGACAGGAAGGAACCATCCAAGTGGTGGCTGGGGAGGTGGCTCCTGGCAGAACAGCTGCTGGGCTCCCGGGATGGCCAGGGGACAGCCTAAAGCTGGTTGCCCTCATGATGGAGAAGCACGGGTAGCTCTGAGCCTTGTGTCTGTGTCCCACACCCGAGGTTAGTGGAACACTCTGTAGAGCCCAGTGGAAGAGTTTCAGGCTTTGTGGCCACACAGCCCTGTGGTAACCGTTCAGCTCACTGTGTTGTGAAAGCCACAAACGGTTTGCAATAAGGGTGTGCAGGTTGGGAGCCTGAGTTTGTCTCATAGCAGTTAGTGGGCCAGCTCTGACAGTAGGAAGGGGAGCCTGTCTCACTGGTGATGCAAGCATCCCTACACTCCAGGTATTCCTCAGGATGGACCTGCACAGTCTGTGGGTGCTGGGTGGGCACTTAGCTAGGTCTGCATGGAGTTGGTGGCTCTTGTCCTCCTGAGCACCTGCCCCTGCAGATCAGAATACACTGTGTGACCAAGAATAACCTCAGCGTGCATGGCATACAGGGCTTGAGTTCACTTGCCAGAGGAAGATCTTCTGCTCAGATTACTGGATTTTGTTTTGTACGGATTTAATAAGTTAAGTACATGTGATTTTTGTTTTGTTTTGCCGTACTGAGGTTTGAACCCAGACCCTTTGCACTGAGCTACACAGCCCTTTTGTTGTTTCGAAACAGAATCTCACTAAATTGCCAGGGCTTAGATCCTCCTGACTCAGCCTTTCAAAGTACAGGGATTACAGGCATGCACCACCACACCCAGCTGATGGTAATCTTTTATCAGTCATATAAATGACAGGAAAAAAGTATCCTTTGGAAAATAACTTGTTTAATTGTTTATTAAAACTTCTAAATCAGGTGTGGTGATGCACACTTGTAATCCCAGCATTCTGGGAGGCTGAGGCAGGAGGTTCACAAGTTCAAGTACACTTGGGCAATTCAGTGATTTAGCAAGACCCTGTCTCAGAATAAAAAATTACATAACAGTGGAGGATGTAGCTCACTGAGAAGGTTCTACGTTCAGTCCCCAACACCAAAAATAAATTTCTAATTCTTAAGGGATTAAATTGAACTTTTTCCATTTTTTTTTTAATTTAAGGTTCATAAAAAGGACTCTGGTTTTTGGCGAGATTTTGGCTTTGGGATGACTTGTCAGTATCAATCAGATTTTCTGACGATTGGTAAGTATGCTTCAGATTTAAGGGTAGAACTTTATTTATTCTAGACCTTATGACATTTTTCTAAAAGGTATCAGATTTTGAGTGTTTCCCTATTAAATTATAAGTGTCTCTGGTTATAGCTAGAGAAATAAAAGGCAAAGTGAGTTTGTAATTAATGTTAGCTTGTCAGCAAAGATGAGGTCATAAAGAGAAATATAATGTTAGATTTACTAGTTCCTTTAAAATCAAAGCACTGCTAGTTTTTAAAGACACTTGTTTAATGGGTTACCATATTTGCAGTTGTTTGGAGTACTCTTAAAAGTACCTCCCTAATGTGTGAATATATAATATATATATAATACTGACTTAAAAATCAAATGTCTCCAACATACATTTTTTTAATCTGTGCCAAAAATGTGTTTTCAGAGAAAATCTTATTTTCCTGCTCAGACTTGGTATCATCACTCATTTATATAAGTACGCTTCATGACAGCACGGGTGCTGCTCCCGTGACCCAGACCTCTCTCCCACTTCCTAACACTTACTGATTTAGGAAACTGTTTTCTCAGCACCGTTTTGTTCTGTACGTTCATTGGATTACAAACTTTATTAAAAAATACAAAACACCTCAAAAAAACACCTCCCTAGGCAGGCATGGTGGCACGTGCCCGTACTGCCAGCCCTTGGGGGCAGGCGCTGAGGCCGGAGGGTCACCAGGCCTCAAACAAAGACCGTGCTGTAACTTACACAGCTGCACGTCAGCTTGGATTATCTGGTCTTAGGACTTTGGTCGTCTTTAGATATGAACCCCTTCTTTATGGCCTAGTGGACTGTTACGCAAAAATCTCCATATTTATGACAAAGGAAAGAGCTGCTCTTTCCAGCTTGATTGAAGAGGGAAGTTAGGCCTTGGAGTCACTGGCTTAGCTTTCTACCCTAGCCTAACACTGTGAGGAAGATTCTGAGCTAGACTTCATCCCCACCCGAGCGTCAGTCTTCCCCACGGAGATAAAGTGCCAGAGACCAGGTCAAGGAAGCAGACTAAAATCAGTGCTGGTGTCTCCCTTTCCATAGCACGTCCTGTGATAGAATATGTCCTGTGTACATTCTAGGCCCATGTGAGATTTAGTTTCATAGTTAGCCGTTTGTTTGGGAACTCTCTCCACCTTGTCTATTTGTCATTATAATACATGAATAATGGAAAATTAGGAAATAATGATAAAAGCCTACTAAATTAAACTAATGCCCTTTCGATCTTCCTTAATAAAACAGTATCTTTCTAAAATAGATTTTTATACATTTTAGCAGTATCTTGAGTGCTTTGAGTTCCTCATTTCTTTTTATAGTACAGTGTTATTGACATATCATTCATATATCATAAAATTTATTGATCTAAAATGTACCGTTACCTAAGTTGTGCAGTTCTCACCCATCACATTCAGAATATTATCACCCAGAAAGAAATCTCATGCCTGTGTCCTCTGTCTGTTGAAGAAAACACCTGGCCCTCTCACTGCAGTCCCCATCACCTGCTTTTTCTCTGGTGAATGGCCACACTTTCCTGTTCTTTGCATGCTGTGTGGTTTCTGTTTTGAAAAATGGATGTTTTAGGTAACATGTTGTGGCAACTCTGAATACTGACTCCCCCTGCTTCCGGGGCTTGTCTTTGTCTTTCCTTATTCCTGTATTGATATGCTTGAACTGTTTGGTGAATTCTTTCTCCCTCTCTTCCCCTGCCAATGCCAAGCCTCCTGTCACTCTCAGAGCACGTGCATTCTCTTCCTGTGTGCACTGCATTTGGCAGGGCTCTCTCGGTCTCTTTCCATGACTTTGTTGGTATCACTGTCGACTGCCAGGTTCACTGGCTAATTAGTAAATTACTGTCTTGTTTTTGACAAAGTTCAGAGCGTAAATTGCTCTGTGATCTGAACTAATTAATTTGGCTTTTAAAGGGGTACTTTTGGAGGCGGTCTTTGAGGTTGGTTTGGAGCTGTCTCTCTCTCCTGTACTCATTGTTAACCTAGCTGGCCTGTAGTTTAGCTTGTTGTCTTCATGAATTTACCATCCTCCTCTTAATTGCTTGTGACCAGACTCTTTCTTTTCTTTTCCTTTTTTTTTTTTTTTTGTT